CACCATGACACTCTCTGGGGAAGATGTGTGTTTCTCATCAACCATTACATCAGTCACACCATGACACTCTCTGGGGTAGATGTGTGTTTCTCATCAACCATTACATCAGTCACACCATGACACTCTCTGGGGAAGATGTGTGTTTCTCATCAACCATTACATCAGTCACACCATGACACTCTCTGGGGTAGATGTGTGTTTCTCATCAACCATTACATCAGTCACACCATGACACTCTCTGGGGTAGATGTGTGTTTCTCATCACCCATTACATCAGTCACACCATGACACTCTCTGGGGAAGATGTGTGTTTCTCATCAACCATTACATCAGTCACACCATGACACTCACTGGGGAAGATGTGTGTTTCTCATCAACCATTACATCAGTCACACCATGACACTCACTGGGGAAGATGTGTGTTTCTCTCATCAACCATTACATCAGTCACACCATGACACTCACTGGGAAGATGTGTTTCTCATCAACCATGCATCAGTCACCACTGACACTCTCTGGGGAGATGTGTGTTTCTCTCTTCATTACATCCAGTCACACCATGACTCTCTGGGAAGATGTGTGTTTCTCATCAACCATTACATCAGTCACACCATGACACTCACTGGGGAAGATGTGTGTTTCTCATCAACCATTACATCAGTCACACCATGACACTCTCTGGGGAAGATGTGTGTTTCTCATCAACCATTACATCAGTCACACCATGACACTCTCTGGGGAAGATGTGTGTTTCTCATCAACCATTACATCAGTCACACCATGACACTCTCTGGGGAAGATGTGTGTTTCTCATCAACCATTACATCAGTCACACCATGACACTCTCTGGGGAAGATGTGTGTTTCTCATCAACCATTACATCAGTCACACCATGACACTCTCTGGGGTAGATGTGTGTTTCTCATCAACCATTACATCAGTCACACCATGACACTCTCTGGGGTAGATGTGTGTTTCTCATCAACCATTACATCAGTCACATCATGACACTCACTGGGGTAGATGTGTGTTTCTCATCAACCATTACATCAGTCACACCATGACACTCACTGGGGTAGATGTGTGTTTCTCATCAACCATTACATCAGTCACACCATGACACTCTCTGGGGTAGATGTGTGTTTCTCATCAACCATTACATCAGTCACACCATGACACTCTCTGGGGAAGATGTGTGTTTCTCATCAACCATTACATCAGTCACACCATGACACTCTCTGGGGAAGATGTGTGTTTCTCATCAACCATTACATCAGTCACACCATGACACTCTCTGGGGAAGATGTGTGTTTCTCATCAACCATTACATCAGTCACACCATGACACTCTCTGGGGAAGATGTGTGTTTCTCATCAACCATTACATCAGTCACACCATGACACTCTCTGGGGAAGATGTGTGTTTCTCATCAACCATTACATCAGTCACACCATGACACTCACTGGGGAAGATGTGTGTTTCTCATCAACCATTAAGTGATCAGTCACACCACAGGCTCTCTGGGGAAGATGTGTTTTCATCACCATTACATCAGTCACACCATGACACTCTCTGGGGTAGATGTGTGTTTCTCATCAACCATTACATCAGTCACACCATGACACTCTCTGGGGAAGATGTGTGTTTCTCATCAACCATTACATCAGTCACACCATGACACTCTCTGGGGTAGATGTGTGTTTCTCATCAACCATTACATCAGTCACACCATGACACTCTCTGGGGAAGATGTGTGTTTCTCATCAACCATTACATCAGTCACACCATGACACTCTCTGGGGAAGATGTGTGTTTCTCATCAACCATTACATCAGTCACACCATGACACTCTCTGGGGAAGATGTGTGTTTCTCATCAACCATTACATCAGTCACACCATGACACTCTCTGGGGAAGATGTGTGTTTCTCATCAACCATTACATCAGTCACACCATGACACTCTCTGGGGTAGATGTGTGTTTCTCATCAACCATTACATCAGTCACACCATGACACTCTCTGGGGAAGATGTGTGTTTCTCATCAACCATTACATCAGTCACACCATGACACTCTCTGGGGTAGATGTGTGTTTCTCATCAACCATTACATCAGTCACACCATGACACTCTCTGGGGAAGATGTGTGTTTCTCATCAACCATTACATCAGTCACACCATGACACTCTCTGGGGTAGATGTGTGTTTCTCATCAACCATTACATCAGTCACACCATGACACTCTCTGGGGAAGATGTGTGTTTCTCATCAACCATTACATCAGTCACACCATGACACTCTCTGGGGAGATGTGTGTTTCTCATCAACCATTACATCAGTCACACCATGACACTCTCTGGGGTAGATGTGTGTTTCTCATCAACCATTACATCAGTCACACCATGACACTCTCTGGGGTAGATGTGTGTTTCTCATCACCATTACATCAGTCACACCATGACACTCTCTGGGGAAGATGTGTGTTTCTCATCAACCATTACATCAGTCACACCATGACACTCACTGGGGAAGATGTGTGTTTCTCATCAACCATTACATCAGTCACACCATGACACTCACTGGGGAAGATGTGTGTTTCTCATCAACCATTACATCAGTCACACCATGACACTCTCTGGGGAAGATGTGTGTTTCTCATCAACCATTACATCAGTCACACCATGACTCACTGGGGAAGATGTGTGTTTCTCATCAACCATTACATCAGTCACACCATGACACTCTCTGGGGAAGATGTGTGTTTCTCATCAACCATTACATCAGTCACACCATGACACTCTCTGGGGAAGATGTGTGTTTCTCATCAACCATTACATCAGTCACACCATGACACTCACTGGGGAAGATGTGTGTTTCTCATCAACCATTACATCAGTCACACCATGACACTCTCTGGGGAAGATGTGTGTTTCTCATCAACCATTACATCAGTCACACCATGACACTCACTGGGGAAGATGTGTGTTTCTCATCAACCATTACATCAGTCACACCATGACACTCTCTGGGGAAGATGTGTGTTTCTCATCAACCATTACATTAAGAATGCATCCTTGAGGAAATGTCAAATGGCATTTCAAAGTCATTTTGGTGTTCCCTGTTTATTGCATGTCCTAAAATATAGTACAGGTAACTCGCGATTTATGGGCGTTTGATTTAAGTGTTTTTGGAATAACGCGATTGTTCAATTAATACCAAAAGCTAATTTACGAGCACTTATTTTTTAAATAACGCTCTCAAGACAGTTTAAATTTGCCGCGTATTCGCCTGGTCGCCTGTCAGTGGAGTCGGGTGTGTTGCCTGGTGAGGTGCTTGTAATTTATTACTATAAACTCGCAGTCATATCAACTTCAATGATATTAATAATAATATTATTAAGAATAATAATAATTATTATAATAATGTAATAATAAAGATTATTATTACTAATGATGAAGACAATGATCATAATGAAGTATTCTGTACAACAACTGTGACGACGTCCAGCAAGCTTCCCGTGTATCGCTTTCTCAGTTCACACCAGCACTACCTTTTCTCTGTGCTCTCATTTGCATTGTGTGTTTATCACGAATCTTTTTAGTGTTAAACGCTGTTTTCCCCATTGAGCATGTCTGGAAAGCGTGAAATTAAATGTGGTCACCTGCCTTCAGAGAGGAGGGGGAGTGTCGGAGGTTGGCCGCGTGATTGGTTGAAGTGAGACCACTGTTCGTACCCTGTGTGGTATATAATGGTTCCCCTAACCTATACCAGTTACATGTATTCTTATGGGAAAATTATGTTTATTAATGCATTTTTTAATTAAGCAGTGGTTTTCAAGAACGTAACCCCCGCATAAAACAAGAGGTGGGTGTATTCATTTTGGGTTTTCAAATAAAAAAAATTACCCTGTAGAATTCACAGTGTGGTACTGTATCAGGGCTGATACCTTTAGTCATATCTTAATTATTGCTGTATGAACAGTACAGTACAGTACAGTACAAGTACAGTACTTTACACCACAATTTCACCCAGATTCATTATCATCATATAACTTTTCACCTGGGGGATTACAGGCTGGGTACCACAATACACATACAGTACTGTACTGTTCTGTACTTACTGTAGTTAGTGTACTGTAAATACATCAGTATTTTTGTTCATGGGTGATATATTTATTTGTTCATTTACTTTTTTCAGATAAAGGCTCTAAAGTGTGAAAAATTTTAATTTAATTTAAACCTTGATGATTCCGTATTAGTGTTATGTTGCTGATGTTTTTCTCTTTCCTTTTTTCAAGAGAAAATCTCCAACACAACTAGACTCTACATCACCTCGGAGATCGGGTGGAAGGTAAGTGTGTGTGTGAGTTTAGTAATGGGTATTTTCTCAAACAAAATAATTAATGTGTTCCTGTGGTATGGGTGACCCTGGTGGACCTTTCTATTCAAGTAGTTCTACCTGTTGGTTTAGTGGCATTAAATACTAAAAAGTGGTTGGACATTAGTGAAAACAGGAATGGGAAAGATGATAACTATATATCAACTGAAAATTTGTTATAAAAAATAGACTATAAAATAGCTTTCTTTTATTTAATTTTACACGTCATCATCACCATTGTTACGATCACGTCCCTCTGAAATACTTAATGGCCTCTGATGCACTGAAATTCCAAAAATACTAATGACTTTCACCCCCAAACATAACAGTAGTTCCAATAATGGAACACTGACCCAACGCACATGCAACAAGTTCCCCTGAAAACTCTGCATCAAATGACCATATGGATACTCTTGTAGTTATTTGTCATATAAGGTTAGATTTATAGGACAAAGTATATTAAAAGATGATCCTGTGATAAAAGAAACAAAACTTTAAAAGCCAATATAAACAATTATTATTACTTTACTTCCATATTTACATGTCCTATGTACAGAAACAGTACTGGACCGAGAATGGAACCTTGGGGACGCCATACAAGGTTGGCGAGGAGTCAGATTGGTGATTATTATAGCAGACATACTGCTTCCTGTTTGACAGATATGAGGTAAACCAATTGTGGGACAGGCCCCTAACGCCGTAATGTTCAAGCATTGAAAGGAGGATGGTATGGTCGACAGTATCAAGGCTTTAGAGAGGTCCAAGAATATACCAACTGTGAACTGACTGTCATCAAAGGAATTTAAGATGTCATTAGTAAAGGATAGCAGAGCACTCTCAGTCAACCTTCTAGCTCTAAATCCAAACTGGGAGTCTGTAAAGATGTTATTGTAATTGCAGAAGGAATTTAGTCTATTACGTGCTAGCTTTTCCAGTACAGTGGGGTATGCTATAACGAATCTAATTGGTTCTAGAACCTTGTTCGTTATAGCATTCGTTCGTTATAGGATTAATCCGTTCCAGGCCCCCCAAATACAACCACTTAACACTGAAAAATATAATATAAAATTGTAAAAATTGTAAAAATGTGCATACATATGCATCTAAACCCCTGAAATAAAGAATATCATTAATACTTGTAATAAAAAAACAATAAATTAGTAAAAAAAAAAAAAAAAAATTTTAAATAATGTTCGTTGTAGGAGCTTCGTTCGTTATAGCATTCTCAATTTTATAGGTAAAACCGTTCGTTATGGGAATATTCGTAGTAGGATCCGTTCGTTATAGCATACCCCACTGTATCTTACTCAAGGCTGGGAGGACTGATATGGGACGGTAATCCCCAGATTTTTTATATGCTGGGTGAACTTTAGCAATTTTTAGTTTATCCGGAAAGACACCACTAGTGAAGGAGGAGTTACAAATGTGTAGGAGAACAGGTAGTAATAATTGGGCTACTTTCTTAATGATGCTCATTGGTATATTGTCTTTGCATGCTGCTGCTTCTTTGGACATTTTTATGATGGCCAGTAATTCAACTGCTGTGACGGGATAAGAACAGCTCATTTTGCTGTCTGTTTTGCAGGTAGGCTCTAAATTCCTCATGGTGATCAGGGATGGTCTCTGCAAGATTTTTGCCAACATTAATAAAATATTCTTTGAAGTGGTTGGCAATGAGGGATGGTTCCGTTACAACTGAATCATTTATCATAAAAGCTGAGTGGGGGCCGAAGGCTGAGTGTTCCTGTTCTGAAAAGAATTTATGACATTCCAGCCTGATGCTGACTGGAGCTTATTTGTATAATAGCTACGTCTGGCATTTCTAACTGCTTGAGTTACTCCATTTCTGATACTTCAGTAAGCATCAACGAAAGTTATGGATCTTTTTGCAAATTTCCTTTGGAGTTTGTGTTTTTCTTTTATCATTACAGGTATCTTAATTTCACTTGTGATATAGGGTTTGGAAATGGATGCAGTTTTCACTGACTTAGTCTTGAGGGGGAAGCATTTATCAAAGCAAGCATTGAAGATGCAAGAGAAGTTACAGCTGTTCATGTTAGGGTTGTTGGAGGCATAGACAAGATCCCAGTTAGCATTCATTAGGTTGTTTTAAAAAAGGAGCATGTTGTCGGTGCAGTAGTCTCTGTATTGTATTGAGACTCTACTAGACCTTTCAGGTCTTGTGGCTGTTTTATACATGGCAAAAACCGGGAAGTGATCTGAGATAATGTTATAAATAATTCCATTTGCAAGATTGTTAGGAGTGTTGTTAGTCCAGATATGATCTATCACAGTGGCAGAGGTGGCAGTTACTCTAGTGGGTTTGGGTAAAGTGTTGAAGAAGAGTTAAGAATGACAGGTAGCGAGAAGGTCTAATACTGAGGTGTCAGTTTCTGATTTTAATATATCAAGGTTGAAATCTCCTGTAAAGTAGCAAAGTTTCCTTTCTGAACTTATGATAGAGATAAGCTCCGAAAATTTCTTACATTAGTGTGAGGTTTTCTGTAGATTACTCCTACGAGGATATTTTGTGTGTCGTTACGTAATTCAGTGAAAACACTCTCCATGTACTCCTCCTGAACCTTTAAATCATCTCTTACAGAAGTGTTATACTTGATATCACATAGGGCGACACCACCAATGTGTCGTGACGTGTTGACGCAGTGTCTATTATAATTAGGAGTGTTATACAAATGGTCAATATTGTTAGTGAGTTTGGTCTCGCAGAACCCAAGTACAGTCATGCGCCGGTTAACATCCTAGATACGTTCTTGGAAACGTGACGTTAACCGAAATGGACGTTGTCCGATCATCACATAAACTTTGTATTTATACTTACGTGTATGTGGAATACTATATACGTACATATACACTTTTACTCTTAAATCACTACTGTAATGCGATACAGGTGATTAATTTTTATCTCTTGTGCAAAATACATGACGTTTATATTAAAATTATTCACTGTTTTACAAGGATTCCAGCAACGCCGGGCAGATGGGGGAGAGAGAGAGTGGGAGCTAGCGAGGGGGCGTGGGGGGAGGGGAGGTAGTACGTTTGACAGTTGGCACAGGCCCAGGTCTAACGTGTGTAAATTTATCAGTTCTTAAGTGACTAAGCTTCTCTCTTATGAAAAGCCAGTGAAATGACCTGGGTGAATATAATTAACATTGCTGAGATTCTTGTAACATACTGATTAATTTGAATATAAACATGCTATAATTTGCGCTAGACAAAACAATTTTAGTACTGTAATCAAATTAGTACATGTGCACTCCAGCTTTGCACTAAGGTCATTTATTTCTATTACGTTTCTTTTAGTATGGTGTGTGCATGTAAATGGATGAAAATAAATGAAGAAATTTATGTAAATCTACCCAAAAATACAGTTGAAAAACTTTTTATAAAATGTACTACAGTATTGTACCCTAATGTACTACATTTTTTATATCTTGAGCAAAATATATGATGCTTATATTCAAATTAATCTCTGTCTTGCAAGGATTTCAGCAATGCAAATTATATTATCCTAACTTTAGTCTGAGATATTATATAAAATAAACATAAAGAAATCACCAATCTTTTGTCTGGGAACACAAGGAGGGTGGGAAGACGGCCGGGGGGTGGAGGCTGGAGGTGAGGTGACAGAATGTCTGGCGTTTGTTTGTTTATTTATTTGAGATAAGATTTGACAGTTGGTGCTGAAGGCCTGCCTGCCTGTTTATTTATCATTACTTAAGAGTGACTAAGCTTCTCATAATTTGCCACCCAAACGACCTTGGTGAATATAACTTACATTGGAGGGATTCTTGTAAGATAGTAATTTATTTGAATACCTGTATAAACAAGCTATATTTGCAATAGACATAACAATTTTAGTACCGTAATCATTTAGTACATGTACAATACAGGTTTGCACTTAGGTTCATTGTTAATGTCCAATATTGACTAAATTCACTAGATAACGTACGCCTGGCAGCACAATCTATAAGAATACGCGATGCATACGTGACTGTGCCCGCTCTAGGGCCATTTAGGTTCGCTAGGTCCCATTATTTGAATGTTTTTTTTTTTTTTCAATTTAAATTTTAATTGTTTATTCCTTGATAGAGGAAGCGGGATCCTAGTGCTGTCACTTGGTACCCCTGTACCGTAACACCAGAAGCAACTGCCCAGTGTCACAAGTATATACAGTACAGTACAGTCATCCCTTGGTTATCGCGCCTAATTGGGACCCCGCCGATAACGAAAGTACAGAACCTATGGGATTTATTCTAATTGGTTCCAGGCACCCAAGACCCAACCCCAAGTTTCCCATTTTACGACCATTTAGACCCACTAAATATATATATAATGTTATGGTAAATATAATAAACACACATAGGCATGGCTAGGTTTATTACAAAGTGATGAAAAGGGTACGCTTAATACTGTAGTCCACAAAACATGTAGCTATGCTTTTTTTATTTGGTCCCTCATCATACGAGTCCGTTTTCTTTCACATCAGGACGCCTGAGTCCTCCATTTTCTCTCTTAATCTTAGAGTGCATCAGAGACTTCGTAATTCTTAGTAATGCCACAGAATTTGAAATTGCAACCCCAATTGCAACCCTAGTTGCAATTGGGGTTGCAATTGTTGAGGCAACTAGATATGTCTGATTACAGCAAATGTGTTATTGTCAATTTTAGGTAAAAGATTTTATCCTCAATAGATGTAGGTTAACATTACACCTGGAGGCAAATGCTTAAAAAGAGTCTAAGGAAGGAAGCATATTCCTTTAACACATAATATCTGACCAGTATGGGGAGGAGCATCATGTCTCCGTCAGGGGGCCGTGGAGTGGTGGTCCTGCAGGCGTCACAGATTTTTTTTGGGGGGGGGCGGCGGCATGGACGTATATGCGATCGGACGTTGTTCGGTCGGACGTTAACCGCCGCATGACTGTACATCAAATTTGTGGGCAATAAAGATAAACACTGATCTAAAAAGGTATCTAGATGAAGGGGAATACTGCTGATGTTATGGCTAATCAAGGAGAAGGAATGAGGTAGTAGGAGACTAGAACTAAACTCGGGAACATCAGGAAAGTAATAGTTACAGTTGGGGTTAATGTAACCCAGTGAGCTTTGTAGAAAGGCATCAGGATCGATATGAGGGAGTACAGCTCCACCCCGACTTACGTCCACCCACACTTACGACCTGCCTCAATCGGACCAAAATTTGGTCAAATTATGTATTTTCGAGTCCCAAAGTCAGTACACAGACAAAATTTTCATCTGTAATTCACTTTAAAATGGCTGGCAAGTTTAAAAGTGAGTGTTTTTTTGGAGCTGAGAAGAAAAAGAGACCCCCATTTTAGATTTTCTATGTATTATTTAAGCATTTCCGACACGACCATTTCGACTTACGATCTGGATGTCGGTCCCTAACCCAGTCGTAAGTTGGGAGTAGCTGTATTGTGTCGACACCATGGGTAAATGGGGTGTAACGCATACGATATAGCACATCTAAGGGAATGACACTAGCATCATCATTGTAGGAACATTGATACTGATTGAGGAACAGTAAAAACTCAGGGTCACTGAGGTGTGAAAAAGGAAGATCTATGAAAATTATAATAGTGGGGGGGGGAGTAACGTACTCACAAGTGCTACAACCAACAGAATTAGGATAACCGGTACTGTTGAGGGTGATTCCCAGATTGAGTGGGAGGTGCGCCTGTCACTCGGTTATGAGGGTTGCTGGTAGGGGGGGAAATTCCTCAGGTGATAGCGACAGTGGCTGGTTCTCCCTCAGTGGGGAGGGGGTTCTCGAGGGGCTTTGGGGGGTTGGTACAGCGGGTGGGTGAGTGGGCGGGTGTCCACTCACCCGACCCCTCACAACAAGGGTTTTATGACTGAATGTCACGTGTTTCCCTTGTTTCCTTGCTTCTTTAAACTGGTCCATTTGCTGTAGGCGGGCTTTAGTCGTACCTGGGCAGAGGTCCTCGTTGACGAAGAAAGTGGTTGATAAAACACTTTGTCACGGTCAGAGGGGGATGAGAAATTTGTTATGATGTCTCGGGGGCAGTAGGAGTTGGGTTTCCCAACGCGTTGAACACGGTCAAACTTTACTTCAGGAAGTTTAAAATGGTCATTCAGCAGGCGTGAAATTTTGCTCTGGGATGACTCCCAGTTCTCGTAGGCATCTTCGGCGACTCCGGCAATCCTGAGGTTGTTTCGCCGCCCTATTTCATCCACATAATCCACCCGGTCTGCTGTTGTCGTTAGTTCCATTTTGAGCTTGGAATTCTCCTCACTCAGCTGTTGAACTTGAGTCTTGAGTGTTCGGTTCTCCTTAGCTTCAACGTCGAATTTTGCTTTTAAGTCACTTACTTCCCCTTGCGAGAATTCTAAGCTTCTTTTAATCTCACTTAGCTGGTCAGTGAGACGCCGGTCAGCTTCGTCTAGCTTCCTGATGGTCTCCTTATTCATTTGTTGTATGATGTCCTGTATGAGAGTCTGTTGGACTTCCATTATCACATCAGTCAGATGTTGTGTCGTGAAATTTTAATGTTTGATACTAGCAGCTAACTTAGACATATCGGAGCTAGTGAGGGCTGAGTAGTTGTCAGTAGGGAGATGGTCAAGTTGTGTGGTCAGCTGGGTGGGACGGTGGAGTAGTGTGGACGGTGGGGGTGGACAGGTCTCAGATTACAAGCCGTGGCACTGAGGGGAGTTTGGTGGGCCTACACCTCACCTCACCTGGTAGTCACAGATTCACCAGTAAATTGACAAATATATATACTTAGCAGGATCACAGATAGATATTGTACTGGTCACGACACTTGCTAGTCACTCACGAATCAGAGTTCCTAGAAATCAGACTGGGTACTCCTGGAAAGACCCTGTTTTTCAACAAAAAACACGGAGCTCCCACACACGTCCCACCACCACACACTTAGATCGGAGGTGGCTGGCTATTCTGAGTTGGGCTATCCCAGCAGGATTTTGTGATCCACAGCTACTTTGTTATTGCTCACATTCCTCTTCATCAGAATGTACTGTAAGATATTATACCCAATTTGAAAGTTTATTTACAATTAAAGATAATTCTAGCAGGATTTATCTTCCTCTGTGTCAGTTTCCAAGTGTATAATACATGATTATTTTCTTCAACAGATATGAACTTAGGAATATAACTCCACCATCTTATTCAGAGAGAGAAATACCGAAAGTATTTAACACACCTGGAAGAAATTTAAGTCAAATCCCTTTTACAACACCATATAGAACACCAAGATTAAGATCATTAGGTCGTGACCTTGCCCCTGATATTAAGGCTGCTAAAAAGGTTTACAAGAGAGAGTCACAAGAATGGAAGGAACACCTGGGCTGTAAGTATATTTTGCATTATGTATGGAATGCAAATTTCCTTAAAGATATTTTTGTTAAATCTTTGTGCCTGTATTTAATCCATTGTATTTCACTTTCAGATTACAGGATGTCAGCTTTTTAGGTGACAGAAGTTTCAGAAGTATTTTTGCTAGTGACACATTGATAATGAAGGGTAAAGGCATACCCCAATAACCTACACATATGCGGACTGCAAAAAGTCGTTGGTAGTGAATCAACTGTTATCGAAGCAATTAATCCCATAAGAATATATTAATTTCAGGTGGTTAGGGACCGGTCACCCTCAAAAACTCCCATCTACCCTTTATATATCTTTGTCGTCCACACTGTCAAATAAGAAATTAAAGTAGACATATAAAGCAAGCATAATAAGCCTTAAATAAAGAATGTAAACCATAAGTTGAGACTTATATACCTGTGTTGAGGATGGCAGAGACGGTCTAGGGTAGCAAGTTCAAGTCTCTACCAATCTTTGCTGGTTGTATCACCACATTTATTACGCTTCATCACATCAAGCTTGACAATAAGACTCACAGACTCTGGGGCAGCACAAGAGGAACTATCACTGGAACTTTTATGCATGATTGTGAAACACACAGTCGGAAATAACACAAAAAAACACAAAGTCGGAGACAATGGGGTAAGTGTAAACATGTGCAGAGAGGCGGGAATAAGTCAAGGCAGCGTGCAGAGCTCTCTCATGGCAAGAATTCGCACCATGCCACCGCCCACCAAATTCAAAACATCCCTGCTCCTCCTCTCCCAATCGATAGCTCGGGGGGTATCAATGTTGGTTATGCGAAGCGGTGGTTAATGGGATGTCGGTTTACAGGGTATACCTGTGTATATAATACGTACGTATATACATATGCAGCATTCGTGATTTTTTGTTTGTGTGTGTGATTTTCTCTGGGGAACATCGAACATTTTCTGGAAAATTCCAAGAAAATTTTCACGGTACCCAGGAAATTCCAGGGATTGATGATTTTTCTACGGCTATGAGAATCGTCTCGTTACCTGGAAATCTCTCATTCCTAGAAGTGCTCTGCACCAGCTCTTCCAGCTAATGGGGATATCACACGTGTGTGCGTGCGCTCAGCCAGAATTGAAATTTGCTCGGAATTTTTCCCGAAAAATTCACAATTTCAGGTTTGAGAACAAATTCCGAGGTTGAAAATCAGGCACATTTTCTGAAAATGCTGAGAAATATCTGGAAAATCTCTCCAAACCTTTATTTCTTCTTCATTCAAGACATCTTCAGGTCATAAGACCCACTAATCCCCCATCCAACAATGGGTGACCTGACAGTGCATCAGGTCAGGTTAGTAACGTGACCCAATAATCTCCCACCCAACCTCCATCACAAGTGTTAAGACATTATTACAGTTATGTATTGCAGTCAGCTGAGTGAAGTGTCTGCCAACTCTAGGCTCAAGATGATAGGATCTGATGGTGAGTACAATATATACAGTATAGTAGTTCACCAATTCCCCCATTAACATCATTTCGTTATAATGTTGTTGAAAAAAAGACAAAAAATATGTATGAAAATGATAAATGTACTACAATTTTAAAAACTTAGTACGAAGGCACTCGGTACCTGATTGTGATAACACCTGGCTGTGCAAGCGACCAGTGTAGGCGCCATATTTGTTTGTTATTATTCTTTGGTTGATTGATGCTCTTCCAACAATCACTTAAAATCCAATTATAAATTTATTTGGGCCTTAGAACAATGAGCGCTACATGTGCATTATGCACCACTACTGGTTGTGGTCACAGAAAGAAGAGGAAAAGTGTTACATTAGAAGTTAAATTAGATGTGGTAAGGGGATTTGAAGGGCAGTGAGCTGTGAACATAGCTGGAGCTGTCAGTTTGTAGCCTAAAACTGTAGGTAAGAACAATTTGTGGAAATGCAGAAGATAATACTGGTAAATCATGTGCTGAAATTGGTACTCCATTATCTGCTACAAAGTTAACTGGTTACCTAAATGGCATTATGAAAAATATGAAAAGAATGCTGAACCTACGAACGTACGACTTACTAACGCCCTCCAATACGAACGAGGTTAAACTTGAAATTTACAGTACAGTCAACCCTCACTTTACGCGGTCCCACATTCCGCGTTTCCATGTTTACGCGGTGCCCTGCCAGAACCCAGGATGCTCACATTCCGCGGTGGGTGTACCCTTTACGCGGGTGAAGTATAATTTTTTTATTTAGCTCATAAAATTCATACAAATTATCCAGCCAGAATATAATTTACATTGCTGGAATTCTTACAATTTGATGATCATTTTGAATATAAACATCATAGATTTTGCATTAGACATACAAATTTTAGATATAATGTTTACTCTGAGTAAATATGTTATCTTTTGTGCAAAATATATGACATTTATATTCAAAATATTCCTGGTCTTACAAGGAATCCAGCAATGTCAATTATATTATCCTAACTTTAGTTTGAGGTATTATTTATTACTATACCTGGTTTTCCCCCCAAAATTTCTCAGAGAGGGAAGAGCCGGCAGTGTAGTGTGAGAGGGGGAGGGAGTCATGTCCATTATTTGAATGGACATTAACTTGGCGACTGTATTTCTCTAAAGTATTAATTGTGTGCATGTACCATCATAAAATTAAGATGTTATTTTTACTACAACATAGTTATGTGTCGTCAAAAAGTGGAGTTTGGGGATCGGCCTGGACTCCATTTCAATTAATCCCATATGTTATGTTATTCACTTTACGCGTTTCTCACTTTCCGCGGTACCCTCCGGGTTACATTAACCGCGTAAAGTGAGGGTTAACTGTATTTTATTTACCTGATGACATATTTTTTACTATGATTTATTGTACTTTGTCATTCTATTTCTTCTTTTGTCTTAAATTAAGTGATTTTAGATGTATATAAGGACTTAGGCTATGATATAGTGGGATTTTAAACATTGTTTTGTAAGTACGGTATGCATATATACAGTGATATGTCCGTTAACCAGAACAAATGGTGCAGAGCACTTCTGGGGATAAGAGATTTCCGGGTAACCAGACGACTTCTCAAACCCAGAAAAATCCCCCATCCCCGGAAATCTTTCCGGTTACTGGAAAAACTTTCTGAGTGTCTAAACTATGCATCTTGCACAGACAAACACTAGCCCACATCCTCATAATGTTTCTGTGTGCTGGAGAGTTTTCCAAGAATCTAAACTAAAAATCTGAAACTATTTTTTATACTTACACTTATCACATTGTATCCCTTCAACATTGCATTACATAATATTTTAAAATGCGGAGTGAGAAGGCTGAAAGCTGTGGGTGATTAGAGAGACTGAGTGGAAAGGAGTGGTAACATGCACCAGTGTTGCCAAGCGCTAAACTCCTCAACAGCTGATCTTTTAATTCACCACCACGTAGTTAACCACCCATAAATTTATGTCATACAATATGGGGGTGTTTGGGTGTCTGAGTGTGATGTTGTGGTATTAATTAATAAATAAGCAATACAGTGGTCCCTCGGTTAACGAACACAATTCGTTCCAGTGGGTCGTTCGTTAACCGAAAATTTAGTTAACTGAATCCATTGTTTCAATGGGATATTGGGTAATTGGTTCCAGCTCACCGAAAAGTACATACAAAGTAAAATATGCAGTAAAGTACACTTACTTTGAGGTGTGTATGTAAAAGATTCCTGGTTGTTGATGATGATGGGAATTAGAAGTGGGGGGTGGAGGAGAAGGGAGAAGAGAAGGAAGTGGGGATGGAGGAGAAATCACCTTTCAAGTGACCCATGCATGATGCCGTCATTTCACCAATAAAATTTTAAGTTCTTTAAGTGTAATTGAAGATTATTTTATTTAAATCAACACTGCACTGCGCTATATATTATCAATATGTAAACTAAATTTCAGAATGACCAATAATTTCAATGTAAAAATGCAAATACAGTGAGTTCTGCTATAACGCGTGTTTTGATAACGCGAATTTGCTCTAACGCGATTTATGAATTCGGAACAATATTTGTATAACGCGATCGCTTGTTTGCTATAACGCGATTTTTGCTTACTATTTCTCCAATTTTGTGGTATTAACTGTGAATATGGTAAAGAAGAATATCTCCAAAAAGCATTCTGATGATAGAATTCCCGGTGATTATCGTAAAAGAAAGGATATAACACTTGAAGAGAAGCTTGATGTTATCAACCTCAAAATCACCCTTCTCCCCATCAAGTTACATTCATATTTTTTCAAGGTAAAGTGTTAAATTTACTGTATGATTTCATTATTAGATATGAATGTAACATTTATTTAGACTGTGCTATCCTTTGTGTTAGGCTAACTACTAAATTTTTTCGATTTAGAGTAATCTGCACCTAACCCTATTTTCTCCATAAGCCCTGTTATTTCTATTACGCGATTTTCTATAACACGATATTTTACAAGAACACAATTATCGCGTTATAGCAGAACTACCTGTACAGTATATTCAAGATACCAACAAAATAGATGTTCACTCCACTGTCAACAAAGCCCAACTGACGCCTGGTGGCTGAGTTAAGCGTCTGATGGGCGCACAAAGAACTAGTTCCCTGTACTGCATATATTATCAATATGTTAAACAAATGTTAAAATGACTAATAATTTTAATATAACAAGTGCAAAAATATTAAAGAACACAACTTTCTTAATATTTACTCCACTGGAAACGAATGTACACATAGAACATATTACTGAATTGGCAGACTAGCCCATCAGCTGATGCTCACAACAAATCGTGATTTTCGTAAGGATTTCGTTAATCGAAGTCTTGTTCGTTAACCGAATTGAAGATCCTTACGAGAGGTAATTTGTTAACCAAAATTTCGTTAATTGAACCGTTCGTTAACAGAGTGACCACTGTATTGTATCATCAATGACAGTCGTTTGATGAATAGTAGCGTACTACAGTGTTCACTACTATTCATCAAACTACTGTACTGTTATTAACAATGCAATATTGTTTATTTATTATTCATTCATTAATACTCCAACACCACATCATACATAAAATCTTTTGTGTGAGGCACTGCGAGTTGGAGGGAGGCAAGGTGCTGGCAGGGGGGAGGCAAGGTGCTGGCAGAGCAAGGTGCTGGCAGAGCGGCAGGGGGAGGCAAGGTGCTGGCAGGGAGGCAAAGGTGCTGGCAGGGGTAGGCAAGGTTCTGGTAGGGAGGCAGGGGGGGCAAGGTGCTTGCAGGGAGGCAGGGGAGGCAAGGTGCTGGAAGGGAGGCAGGGGGGGCAGGTGCTGGCAGGGGAGGCAAGGTGCTGGCAGGGAGGCAGGGGAAGGCAAGGTGCTGGCAGGGGGAGGCAAGGTACTGGCAGCAGGGGAGGCAGGGGAGGCAAGGTGCTGGCAGGGAGGCAGGGGGAGCAAGGTGCTGGCAGGGGAGGCAGGAGGCAAGGTGCTGGCAGGGGAGGCAAGGTTGGTAGGGAGGCAGGGGAGGTGCAAGCTCAGGAGGCAGGGAGAGGCAAGGTGCTGGCAGGTGAGGCAGGGGCAGGTGCAGGAGGCAGGGGGAGGCTGGCAAGGTGCTGGCAGGGGAGGCAAGGTGCTGCTGCAGGAGGCAGGGGCAGGGGTGCTGGCACAAGGTGCTCGAGGAGGAGGGCAGGCAAGGTGCTGGCAAGGTGCTGGCAGGGGGGGGAGGCAAGGTTCTGGTAGGGAGGCAGGGGAGGGGAGGGGGGGCAGGGGAGAGGGCAAAGGTGCTGGCAGGGGAGGCAGGGGGGAAGGCAAGGTGCTGGGCAGGGGGGGAGGCAAGGTTCTGGTGGGGAGGCAAAGGTGCTGGCAGGAGGAGGCAAGGTGCTGGCAGGGGGAGGCAAGGTGCTGTGGGAGAGGAGGGGGCAAGGTGCTGGCAGGGAGGCAAGGTGCTGGCAGGGGGAGGCAAGGTGCTGAGGGGAGGCAGGGGAGAGCAAGGTGCTGGCAGGGGAGGCAGGGGAAGGCAAGGTGCTGGCAGGGGGGAGGCAAGGTTCTGAGTAGGGGAGGCAAGGTGCTGGCAGGAAGGCAAGGTGCTGGCAGGGGAGGCAAAGGTGCTGGTGGGGAGGCAGGGGAGGTGCTGGCAGGGGAAGGGGGCAGGGGGAGAGGCAAGGTGCTGGCAGGAGGGTGCTGGCAGGGGAGGCAAGGGGGAGGCAAGGTGCTGGCAGGGAGGCAGGGGAGGCAAGGTGCTGGCAGGGGTGGGCAAGGTTTGGTAGGGGAGGCAGGGGAGGCAAGGTGCTGGCAGGGGTGAGGGAGCAAGGTGCTGGCAGGGGAGGGGAGAGGCAAGGTGCTGGCAGGGGTGAGGCAAGGTTCTGGTAGGGAGGCAAGGTTCTGTAGGGAGGCAGGGGGGCAAGGATGGGGGAGGCAGGGGGAGGCAAGGTTCTGGTAGGGGAGGCAAGGTGCTGGCAGGAAGGCAAGGTGCTGGCAGGGGAGGCAAGGTGCTGGTAGGGGAGGCAGGGGAGGCAAGGTGCTGGCAGGAGGCAGGGGAAGGCAAGGTGCTGGCAGGGGGAGGCAAGGTGCTGGGCAAGGAGGCAGGGGAGGCAAGGTGCTGGAAGGGGGGGCAAGGTTCTGGTAGGGAGGCAGGGCAGGGTGGGTAGGGGGCAGGGGAGGCAAGGTTCTGGTAGGGAGGCAAGGTGCTGGCAGGGGCAAGGCAAGGTGCTGGTAGGGGAGGTGCTGGCAGGGAGGCAAGGTGCTGGCAGGGGGGAGGCAAGGTGCTGGCAGGGAGGCAAGGTGCTGGCAGGGAGGCAGGGGGAAGGCAAGGTGTTGGCAGGGGAGAGAGGGAAATCTGGAATATTCATCCACAGCAGTGAAGAGATATGAGTTTCCTGTGTGTGATGGAAGAGGACCTTTGAAGTCAATGCTCAATCTATCCATTGGTTGAGTAGCTTTGATAAGGATATTTTCAGTAGGCCTGTGAAATGTTGGCTTGATTTCAGCACACAAACGCCAAGTTGAATTGACCTTTTTCACATCGTCCGTAGAAAATAGGAGGTTCTTTGTCCGGGCAAAATGAAGCATTCTGACAACCCCCGGGTGGCAGAGCCCTTCATGGATGTCAGCGAGGTTTGACGATGAGATGGCTCCGCAGAATGCTCGGGTGAAAGTGTCAGGAGCAACGTTGTCTCTACCTGGCTGATACCAAATGGAATAGCTGAAACAAGCGAGTTTGAGCCGCCACCCTTGTATCTTGTCATTCTTCATTTTCTTGTCGAGTTGAATATTTGGAAAATGTTTAAGTGTTACAGATTAAAACATCAGTAGATGAAAAATGTGTTGCTAAATGCTAGATGTGTCTGATACTCAGAAATATACTAAACTTGTTATTTTTTTCAGTATTACTTCATAAAACACTGAAGTTGTGCAACCTGAGCAGTGTATATAACTTCAATTACAAAAGAAAAACCCTCAGAACTAAATATGAAAATGCTTTGAAACATAAGGTAGGTACAAGAAGTTTGTATTATGTATTTTCTGTGTTCACATTCATTTTATACTGAGGAGTAGGTATATTGGCCACAAGAAATATTTTTATTTATATATGGTAATTGTGAAGAGATGACTTATCCATTATCATATCCTCATGTGAACCCTTTACCTCGGTGGTACTATATCTGTGTCTTGTGGTAGCTGTTATATAGAACCGTATGATTAGCTATGTCTGGCTTGTGGTTCAGTAATCCCGTGTTTTTCGCGGGAATTACGTTCCTGAAACCCCCGCAAAAAGCCAAAACCGCGAATAATCTTTTAGGAATCACTGTACCTGTGGCCACCAAACAGCTCAGGTAGGTCATGCATTTAACCACGCCATGCTCTCCACTCACGGCCCAGTGGTCACACTGATCACTGATGCACTGTACTGGCATTTACTAACATCATTTCTTGAAACTAATAATATTGTAGTATACTGTAATAATAGAAAAACGTAAACACAGTTATATACAAAAAAAAATTTATTTACAAGTAAATAAAATTTTTTATATTTCGCTGAGGTCGGCAACACCCGCATTGCCAGCCTCTCCCTGCTGTCCCGGCATCTGCCCGCCCTCACGCAGTCACGCCAGCCAGCCAGTCCTCTTCCACCCACATTCCTCCACTTGAAGACCTGTATTCTGACAAAAGACACAAATGAATTGCCAGTCTTCACCACACCTCGGGCCATAGCTCATACCACCTCTGAGCTTGTCCATTAAAACTGTTTTTTCTGTTTAGTTCATCACTATTCTTGATCTCTTGGTCACTTTAGAGTCTTTGATAGTAATATTTGCCTTTGATGAGGCTAGCTTACGTCCCGGAGCCATGTGGAATACACGTGAGAGGACAAACGGAAGAGGTAATCACAGTAGCGTTCACAGTACGGTAGGCACGTGTGTACTGAGGCTTCTCGGAGCAGCGGGTGTCTGAGGCAGAAAAGGGTGGCGTTGTTTGCCGCACCGCACGGGAATATCGAAAATGGTGTGAAATTTAAATTTATGTTTTTAAAGGATATTTATGGACTGTTTATAAATTTTTTTTGTAAAAAACCGTGAATGGTCAAAACTGCGATAAAAAACCCCATGAAAAACACAGGATTACTGTACAGTACTACATAAATGCTACATTATCTTGTGGAACTGCACAAAACTACAATAAGGTGCTGACGTGTTTAGAAAACTGAAAAAGTAAAATAAGTCCAGGTACAGTAAAGCCACGAGGTACGACAGCAATGTGTCTTCCTATATTTAGGTGTACGGTGAATCGTCATATCGTGAATCATTAATTATCATTAAAATAAGCAATAATACAGTAATGAGATAAGTTCCCTAGTGAGGCTTTTACCCCTTTTTTTCCCCAGAAGAGAAAAATTAATGGAAAATAAAAACTATACTACTTTAATTAATGTTTACTAATGCAACTTATGCAATATTTCACGATGTATTAGTGATAAAGAACTCAACTGTGGGTGGATGTCCAGAGTATGAATGAATGCAAAAACATATTGTCATTTCTCTTATTAAAAATTATTACTAAATGTCTATATATGTTTGAATTAATATTTATGTATGCAAAATGAACTGTACAATTCACTTGTAATACATAGTCTATTAAAACACACAAGAGGAGATGGGATGCCATTGTTGTTGTCAGTGTTTACATGTATGATACGGGTTCTCCATCTGAAATTGAAGATGATTAGAACATACAGGCAATTAAAGCATCTAATAATTACTTAAATACTGTACGTAATATTAGGAGAACACGTCGCTACCTGGCATTTAATTGAATAATTAAAGTAACCAGAAGTGGTCAAGAAAATAGTGTGAGAGGGACAGCAGAAGGCCAATGTATGTACATATGCACACATGCACAGCATAGCCTCAATTCTCTACATAAGAATATAAAGCAACACTTATTTCTGTTTATTACTGTATGTATATGTTTTGATTAATATTTATGAATGTAAAACAAAAATTCTACTCATCAGTGGTGGTAAAGCCAAAAACATAAGGACACAGCCAATGTTTTTGTTTGAGTTTTTACTCACATGATGACGAGACGCCTAAATCGACAGGTCCTCTCTCTCTCTTAGCTTTTGAACTAACACTGCCATCACTTGGTTTCATGCCTGTGTTGAATAGAAACACAGAAATGCTGTAAAACACCTGAGAAAGTTTTTTTATTCAGATCCGGTTGAGACACATTGAAACAAAAAGTTTGTGAAGCTACGACTGTTGTTCAATCTCTTTTTTGTTTAATTCAGAATGCGACGCCTAGCTTATACCTAGATATGTAAATGCCAAGCATTAACTCACCAGGCCAACATACAGGCAATTAAAACATCTAATAATTACTTAAAAATTCGTAATATTAGGACGCGTCGCTACCTGGCATTTAATTGCAATTCTCAAAGCCCCTCCAACACCCTCCATCACACGCACTGCCACCGCCATCTCTTGCCCTAGAGCTATCAGTAAACAAATGTTAACTCTCGAGGGGTGGAGATGGGTGGGTTATCTACGTCGCATTCTGGATTATATCACAAAAACTTTTTTTTGGAAAAAAAAAGCTGCTTTTTGTTCAAGCCAGAATGTGACGCCTAGCTTTGAATACCCGAGCAGGAGGTGGAGAGGGAGATGATGTTGCATACAAGGCTCCGCTAGCTTAGGTCCAGATTATGATTATAAACCGTTTGGAATATTTTCCAATATTAAGAACATTTACCGGAAGGTAAAATGTTAATTTACATATCCCAATGAGGATACTCACTTTATTCTGATAAAGAAGAAGGTCCTGGTTGTGGAGATTGACTAGTTGGGGGAGGGGACCCCAGAACCACCACATGTGAAGCATCTTTCAGAGATAGATGAAGATAGCTGTTTTTAAAGGTTTTAGAAGATCTTCAAAAGCCCACTTCTTTGATATGACTGAGGCTCATATGCAGCAGAAAGGCCACAGACCCTGCATATTTCCTGGTGTCATGTGCCAAAAATTTCTTGCCAGGGTCTGCTTTACTCACTAACTGAGATAAATATTTTGTCATTTGACTAGGAGACAATTTCTTACCATCCTGTGATGAGAATACATAGGGGCCTCGATTAGGGAATCTGGTTAACCATTCCTGAAGATTCTTAACTGGGCACAATATATGAGGAACCCTTGTCTCATCCATTAGCTGTTTTATCCTAATAGGTTGAGCTTGAAAATCCTCCCTTTCATTTTTTCTTAGGATCTCCTTAGGAAAAAGGGTGACATCTTCCTCAGAAAATACCAATAATGATGGATTATTGGAAATTAAAATCAGCTCACTGATTCTCATACCTGTTGCTATTGCTAGAAGGAAGGCTGCCTTCTGGAGCAATCTGTCCTTGTTCAGATTTATACATTGTAATTAGGCCCCATGAGAAATTTAGTAACTTTTTCTAGAGACCGAGATGGGATTCTCTTAGTCCAAGGGGGTCTCTGAATGAAAAAGGACGATCTGAGCATTTAATAAATAATTGGGTTCAAAGTAATATTAAAACCCCATGCCAGAGGGTCAACCAACGCTGATTTATAAGATGCAATTGTAGATCCCTGAAGGCCTTTAACTCGGAACAGAAATTCAAAAAATTCTAACACCATTGTTTCCGACAATGTGTCTGGAGTCGTTAACCTGATAAATTGTTGAAAAAGTTTCCAAGCTTTCTCATGTTGCATAGAAGTTTGGGGTCTATGACCTAGTATTCCTTGGTTAGCTATATTGGAATTACCCAACAATCTATTTAAACATCTTTTGAGAAACTCCAAGCGTGATGCCAAGGATATCTCGAACTGAGAATGCAGTACTTGGTCGAGACACCCTTATTGCATTTGTAGTGGATGCGGGCACCAGTCCAACAGATCCAGACACCAAGGTTGTAGGATCCAATATGGTGCAATTAAGAGGACCTTTCCTTGGAAGGATCTGAGCTTGTGAACCACTTTGGGCAACATTTTCACAGGTGGGAACAGATAGATTGAATTCCAACGGTTCCAATCTATGAGTAGAGCATTTCCTAAAAGATTTGATCGTTCCAGAGATGCATAAAGTGGCATCTTGTGGTTTTTTAGGGAGGCAAAGAGATATATTTTTGGAGTTCCAAACTTCCTCACTAAACTCTTGAACTCTGATACCTTTAGGGATCATTCTGTTTCTGTCGATACAGGCCTGAAACGGGACAATGCATCTGCCCAATTGTTTTGTACTCCCGGTATGTGAGTTGCTTTGAGGTAAAGTGTTTGTGTTACACAAACTTTGAAAAAATTTTCTGACAGTTTTAGATGGGGGCAAGATCTGGTTGAGCCTTGATGATTGAGACAAAACACTACTGTTTTGTTGTCCATGGCAAACAGGATCGTCATATTTTTTTAAATTTGGGTTTGCCAACAAAAAGAATAGAACGCATTTCAAATTTCTTTCATAACTTATATCAGCATATTTTGGAGCCAACAAATACTGGGAAAGTTCATATAAGGAACTCTTTTTTGTCCTTAAATTGGAACTTCAAAAAACTAAACTTGTGATCATTCCTATCTGAGGGAATGAATGTTAAGTCTTTCAATACATTAGCCCAGACGTCGTCTATTTCAGAGATCATTTTTGGGCAAATATCAGGCCAAGAAATTGTAGTATCACCTAAAAACAATGAATGATGACCCACCGTTGCCTGGCCTTCCTGTCTCTTCGTAAGTGCTGTGAGGTCAGGAAGTTTAGAAACGTTTTCATAAAATACCTTGAATAAGTAATCCACAGATTCAGATGTGGTAGAAAACAAAGAAGACTTAGATCTTACCAATGTTACCCAAGGCCTGTTGGGATCATCCTTACACTCAATGTTATCCATCATCTGCGTGGCAGTCGACAGCAGCCTGTTTCCACTCATAGTAACCAACACTTTTGCCCCGGGTGGAAGAGGTTGCCAAAATGGGGACAGGATGAAGTCGG